TAATTTTCTGTTTGCAGCAAATCACACCAAGGAGGTAATTTTTTTGTTAGTGAATAAATCAAAATATATCCAAGTAATCTATTATTGTTAACATATACATATAGCATCTAAGTATTTCTTGACATAAAAATTATTCTTATGCGGGACATATTTTTTTGTTTAACTTGTTTTTTTTAAGGTTTTTGGTACAGTGGTTATGGTAAACGTAGGTACAGTGGTCACCACTAAATTATTTAAATAAGGATTGGCCATTGTACTTTAGTTAGAAAAGTATTATTTGGCGCAAATTCGCTTACTGTTGTTTTCTTTATTTTAAATTTTTCTAAAACAATGCCGAACAGAATGAAAACAAACAAAGAGATTGAAAAAACTCCCTCAGAAACCATGCAATTTCCGATGTGGTTAATGGTGAGTCATCTGCTAAAGCTGCGGCTATTAAACAAGTGTTTCACGTACTATACTAAAGCGTTATTTGCAAAAATACAGGGAAAAGGAAGATGATATTAACTGAAACTCACCATTTTTGGAAGGGACACCAAGACTTACTCCTAACTACAGAGTGAATCAAATATTTTCACCTGAACAAGAGGACATTCTAAGTAAATATTTACAAACTATGACGGAACTTCATCATTGTATGAACCCAAAATGTGTTCGAAAGTTAGCCTATGATTTGGCAGTAGCAAATGGAAAGTAAATACCCCCCTCATGGACAGAAAATTGTACTACTGGAAGGTTATGGTATAACGGCTTTATGAAAAGACGGAAAGAGCTGTCCGTACGGTCAGCAGAGGCCACGTTTTTGGGAAGAGCAATGGGGTTCAATAAATCAGTGGTGCAACTCTTTTTCAACAATCATGTCATGGCAGTAATTTTACGTATCCCGACGTTTTTGATACATCTATAGTTTCAATTGAGGATATTGTGCTTCACTAATCTAGGCCTCTTAAAGTAGGTGGCACTACCAGAACAGCGAATGTATTTTCTTTTTCTATCAATTTATCTATGTACAATATTTGTTAACTTAATTTTGATTTGATTTTAAAAGACTTATTTTGTTGTTTAAGTTGCCTTGCGAATTAATATGGGGTTATTTTTTGTAATAAAAACTACTTTGTTTTTAAATAAACTGTTCTGATCAATGACTAGTTGTTTTTACATATACTTATTCCTTAGAAGAATTGTGTTCACTATAACATAATATAATGGCCACTGTACCACACTAAGGTGGCCAGTGTACCATCATTGTTGGTACAGTGGCCATTTTAAATTAATATTAGTAGTTTTCATTTTTTCAGCTCCTCAATTTAGTATTAATGGGTTAAGTACCCTTTCTATTGTCTAATCATAACAGATTTAGTAAAAAGTGAAAACTCTGGTTTATTTGATTTATTTTGTAAAAAGGTGGCCACTGTTCCAGACTCTCCCCTTCGCTATTGCGAATGGTAATTGGAAATGATTTAATTTAAATTAAATTTGTTCATAAAAAAATATGTTTAAAAGCAGTCCCCTGTACAATTGCTGTCATGAACTAAAGATATTAGAAAAGTAAAACCTAATAACAACAATTCAAAGGATTGTTTTGAACACAATTTGTCAATGACAAATTTAAGTAAAAATGCAATTGAAACAAAAAATTTTATTTTACAAAAAATTGTTTTTTATTCAAATGTAATAAACAATATTTATAAAACAAAATTTGGTTTCAAATGATTACACTGTTAATGTTGATTTATAAATATCATTTATTATATTTGAATAAAAAATAGCAGAATTTATTTTTTGTGAAATAAAATTTTATGTTTAAGTTGCATTTTTATCTAAATTGGTCATTGACAAAATATGTACAGATCCTTTGAATTCTGATGAAAAACTATTTGATACGCCCATAGAGATCACAGCTGTCAAAAGTTCGTAGATACTGGCCTCAAACAAAGCCTATGTTAAACGGCGCCCGTAACCCATCTATATTTCATTTGTTTATCTGAGATTACCTCTTACTTATCAAATATTAATACATTAGAATATGACAAATATAACTATTTTTATTCCATTGTCTCTCCCAGACTAAAATTTAATTTCAAGAAAAAGGCACTAAAATCTTCAAAAATATATAAGTTTTGACGACATGTTATTATTTTAACGATCTGGTCCAAATGGAAGAAAATTTACCAATTTGGCAATTCTCAGAAATGTGCCAAATTGCTACAAGCAAAAGTCATTCATCCCACATCCGTTTGTTAAAAAAAAAAATACTTCACAAAAGAGATAATCATAAATTGCAAAGCGGCAGAAGCGGACTGAGTAGGTATAATTGGGGGTAAATATACTAGATGTTTGATTTATAATAATTATCATATTCAGTGGCGCTTTGTTACTTGTTTCATTATTTGTTTATCATGAATTTATCTATTTATTTATTATTCTATATCGAATTTTATTTGTGTTTAAAAAAATTTTTTTTTTAAATATCCTAGCTCGCACACAGGCATTACAATGCCTCAGCAAGTTACCAATGTTTATATTTAAATTAACTATGTAATTGTAATTTATATTTCTTTTTTTGAATAAACATTATTATTATCTAAAGTTTAAGTCTGAGGAGGTAGTAGTAATATAGTTAAGGTATGTGGGGGGAGGATAGTGGTAATATTTAAGACTTAATGTTTAATAATTATATATTTTAGTACCTCTATAAAGTTAGGTTTAAAAATTCTTGGGGGGGGGGGGGGAATTGTCCCCATTAACACCCTCCTTCCTATATACGCCCCTGCTCTCAATCTAAATTAAAATAAGAAGGTGTTAATTATTTTAATACTCTTTAGAATAATGCGAGTCGGTAATAACATAATATACATAATAACTTGATATTTTTGATTACACATGAAGACTCTTTATTGCTTAAAATTTAATGTTTGAATATTCTTTTGGTGTCTAGATAGAATAAAAGTCAGTACAGGAACGTTTCTGGACTCTTTTACTTAGGTAAACCTTCAAATTAAAAATACAAAATCATTCTCTAACACTTTAGAGATAATTATGACATTTTGTGGTTCCTTGCTTAATTTTTTTTTCAAATGAAATTAATTATATATCGAATTGTCTGAGGTCTGAAGAAAAACACTTTTTGGAGTAAATTGTCAAATTTTTTCTCTTTTAAACCCCTAATATTTTTTAGACATTTTAAAATTTTAGATATCCTAGTGAATTTGAAAAACTATTAAATTAATTAAGAGGTAAATTTATTTAACCACATTTAAATATGTATGTTAGGTTTTCCACTTTATAGTTTTGTGAATCAGATTTTTCTTACTGTAAATATTTCTGTGTCGAAACACCTAATTTTGGTCAGTAAGTTTATGTATTTAGTAAGTACCTAATGTAAGCCCTTTGTAATAATATATAATTGTAGCTGTACGTTTATATAAATAATAAAATACATTTTACATATCCTCAATTACTGGAAAATTAAATATATTCTGTATATAATATATAAATTACCTAATATTAATAAAGATATTTTGTCTAAATTAACAAGGTGTTCCTAAACATTATGTCATAATTGAAGGAGGTAATTCCTTGGCTCATATTATGACTTAAAGTTCATATAAACATGTGTCCTAAATTGCTTTGTTTCGAAGATACAGGGTGTCCAAATTTTCAAAAAATAATCAGTTTTTCATTAATATTACAAATACTCTTTTGTCGATTTTGATAAAATTTGGTACTTTTGTTTCTTTGAGTAAGAGGCTGATTTAGAATTGCTTAGATCTAAATTATCAATTCCAGTGCAGTACTCAAAGAGACCTTTTTAATATTTTTGACAAAAAAAGCACGCCACTGTGTTTTTCCATATTTTCTATTTAATCTCTGAATTATCCAATTAAAAATCCAACTTTCTTGTATTCTGATTATTTTTGAAAATTTGAACACCCTTTATCTTTGAAACAAAGCAATTTAGGACACATGTATATATAAACTTTTAGTCATAAATTGTGCCAAGGAATTACCTTATTCAATTATGACATGATGTTTAGAAACACCCTATATATTATAGATATTTAAGATTCATTTTTTGACCTCTCTATCATGATACATCGAACATGACTGGATAAAATAGCGTTTTTTCCAAAAATATCTCAGCATTTCGAGGAATGGCGTCGAATCATGCAAATTATTAAAATAAAAGACAAATTCTTTAGCATCTTTTGCGACATTTCGATTCTCCGAATGAAGGTTACCCACTTCACCGATCATCGCAGTCTTTTCGACACAGAACCGGATTGTTGGCTTTCTAATGTATCTATATACAATTTAGTTAAATCGCCTTAGCACACATACAAGTCATAACATTAAATTGAATGTTTAAACACTACGGGCCAAATTAAACTTGTATACTTTTTAACTATTAATAACTTTTTACCTGTTGCATCTATTTATTTAGTTTTTGGAGGACGGTTTGTCTGAAATATTTTTTCTAGTATGTCCGATTCTGGATGAAAAAGACCCAGGCACCCGGCTTATGGAGAAATGGGGTTCGGTGAATTTTTTTATTTGTTGTAGTTAACTTTCTGAACAATAGTATCCATGGGCACAATTCAATCCTATTACTACTTGAAGTTTCAATTTGGTCATTTTTAATAAGGGCCTACTTTTAAACAAACTACTATGATTTAATATATTTTCGAGAATAATGCTTTAATGATATCAAACAACATTTCCAGTTACAGGGATAGTCATAAATTACTAATCAAATCGAATTTTAATTTTTTAAATAGCCTTGGTTTACATAATAAAAATTAGAGACTATTACATTTTATACTGGTAACTCAAAAAGTTGGTAGTTTTTCGTAAAATTTTACCTATTTTATGTTGCATGTAAATAATAGACATTAAACCAATTCATCATGATTTAAAAGTATATTTAACGAGAAATACTTGAAAAGATGAGTTTTTTGACCAAGTGAGTTGCATCCCATTCTGACCATGATGAAACTTTTTCAGATCCCAAGTACCCTGTAAAAGTTTTTATTCCCCAAGGGCAAACTGAAGGATTGCAAATGGGAGCGAAAGCAGATACAGATTTGTACATTTCTTGATTTTTTAATGCAGATATCAGGGCAATCCCTCTGCTGCAGGGAAATTATTATTGATAAGTTTTGGTAATTCTGAGATAATATAACTAAACATTCTGTAATTTTTTTCCATGGTTCTTTGGTGGAATTTACATAAAACCCTGTTCCAACTCCAATATCCCAATTTTCAGAACCACCAGGAATATTTAGGCCTCTTGGAGAAGTATCTGAATTAACAATTATGATACCATATTCTGCTGCATATCTTTGAGCTCCTGATTTTTCAATAAAATTAGCTTTGCTACAAGTTAAACCAGAAAGCCAATAAATAACGGGCAACTTCTTATTTTCATCCACTTGTGGTGGCAAATAAACACCAAACCTCATTTTGCAACACACTTCTTCTGAATCGTGAGAAAATATTTTTTGATATCCTCCGAAGATTTTGTTTGAGGATTCCTTTGTAAGTACCATCTTGATCCATTTGCTAACTTTCAATCTACACTGAATGTTTTAAGGTGAAGGGGGGAGAAAAAGTCCTTTATATCTCACAAGGAAAGTCAATGTTTAATTATTCAACAAAACATTGAGTGCGACCGGTTTCGAAGTATCATCACTTCATCTTCAGGCTCGCCTAGTGGAAAGGAGAATATGTGGTGTAAGGTGTGTTGACTTTGAGCCCACAATATATAAAATAGTAAAAAATAGAAAAACTCACCATACTCTCCATCCACTAGGGAATACTACAGACAAGTTTCATCAAAACGTGGGGGATGAAATAAATCGTAAAACAAAACAATGTTACAAGTTATTGTTACACTGTTATTGTAACATTGTTTTGTTTTACAATTTATTTCATCCCCCACGTTTTGATGAAACTTGTCTGTAGTATTCCGTAGTGGATGGAGAGTATGGTGAGTTTTTCTATTTTTTACTATTTTATATATTGTGGGCTCAAAGTCAACACACCTTACACCACATATTCTCCTTTCCACTAGGCGAGCCTGAAGATGAAGTGATGATACTTCGAAACCGATCGCACTCAATGTTTTGTTGAATAATTAAACATTGACTTTCCTTGTGAGATATAAAGGACTTTTTCTCCCCCCTTCACCTTAAAATTACCTCAACTCACACATGGCCACCCCCCTTGTCAACTCCACTGAATGGTTGAAGTTGAAATACTATTCACAGAAATGACTTGTAGAAATTGAAAATACTTGCGGAACTTGCTACGTGCTTGCCCGTTTGCTCAAGTTTAAATGTTATCAGGAACTTACTATGATTAGTTTTTGAAATATGAAGTATAATAAAACTTTTTCCTACGACCACTTAGGAAAGTGACACATATCACACTATATAGTCCTATGGAAAGTGTCCTATATCACACGCGTATGACTAAGAATTTACTTTCCACCCAAGTGAGAATATGTTACTTTCCGCAGTAGTTGTCAAAAAATGTCAAACGCCTAATTTCTATTTTGATCTATGTAATGTCCATATTAATACTAAAATCGATATGATTGTTAAATTATTGAAATTGTTTTAAATTAGATCCTAGATATTTATCTTTAACAATTATTATTAAAATAATTTTAAAATAACTAAGATTATGTTTGCTCTTTAATTTGGGTAAATACATAACCGATTAGATCATTCAATTGACGTAAGGCCCATTAGCTCAGTTGGTTTAGACGTCGAACTTATCAACTTTGCCATTTTTTGACCGCGTTCAATCTATGGTTCAAATCCTGGCGGAGCCGAATTTTTTTTTTTGTTTTTTTTTTTTTTTATTAGTTTTTTTTGTTTAGAAAATATGAAAATTGAATAAATACGATTATTGTTGATTATTTTTTTAAATACATTTTAATTAATATAGTAATAATAACCTTGGTTTTACATTTTTTTGATATTATTTTGTAAGCTAATTTCTATTTTGATCTATGTAATATCCATATTAATACTAAAATCGATATGATTGTTAAATTATTGAAATTGTTGTAAATTAGATCCTAGATATTTATCTTTAACAATTATTTTTAAAATAATTTTAAAATAACTAAGATATATTTGCTTTTTATTCTGGTTAAACACATAAGCGATTAGATCAATCAATTACCGTAAGGCCTGTTAGCTCAGTTGGTTAGAGCATCAACTTTGCAATTTGAGACCGTCCAACGACCGCGATCGAATCCTGGCTGTGCCAGAATTTTTTTTTTTATTTTTTTTTTATTTGTTTAGAAATTATGAAAATTTAATAAATACGATTATTGTTGATTATTTTTTTAAATACATTTTAATTATTATAATAATCTGGTTTTACATTTTTTGATGAAATTATTTTGTGGTCGTAGGAAAAATATTGTACATCACTTGTGTGAAAAGTGATTTTCCACACTCGTGTGATAGTCGCACTCGGCTTACGCCTCGTGCGACAATATTTCCCACTCGTGTGAAAAATGTCACTTTCCACACTCGTAATGTAATATACTATTTCCTACGACCACTTAGGAAAGTGACACATATCACACTATATAGACCTATGGAAAGTGCCCTATATCACACGCGTATGAATAAGAATTTACTTTCCACCCAAGTGAGAATATGCTACTTTCCGCAGTAGCTGTCAGAAAATGTCAAACACATAATTTCTATTTTGATCTATGTAATGTCCATATTAATACTAAAATCGATATGATTGTTAAATTATTGTAAATTAGATCCTAGATATTTATCTTTAACAATTATTTTTAAAATAATTTTAAAATAACTAAGATATATTTGCTTTTTATTCTGGTTAAACACATAAGCGATTAGATCAATCAATTACCGTAAGGCCTGTTAGCTCAGTTGGTTAGAGCATCAACTTTGCAATTTGAGACCGTCCAACGACCGCGATCGAATCCTGGCTGTGCCAGAATTTTTTTTTTATTTTTTTTTTATTTTTTTTTTTATTTTTTTTTATTTGTTTAGAAATTATGAAAATTTAATAAATACGATTATTGTTGATTATTTTTTTAAATACATTTTAATTATTATAATAATCTGGTTTTACATTTTTTGATGAAATTATTTTGTGGTCGTAGGAAAAATATTGTACATCACTTGTGTGAAAAGTGATTTTCCACACTCGTAATGTAATATACTATTTTCTACACCCACATGGATGCTATTGCCTTCAACTGAACGAATATATTTCATATCCATTCTAGATAGTGAGAACACAGCAAAAAAATGAAATCACCGTTCATATTTTGATCAACCGACTGCTATTATTTTTAAATAAGTAAAAAATTGTCAGTATATTTTTTAGTTATTGAGATTAAACATAAATTAAAATGGGCTATTCTTGTGTAGAATCCATAAATAATAGCATTTCTTTTTTTATTTCGTTTATAATTATAAATAATTTGTTAATTTAAATAAAACTTTATGAAGTCAATTTAATTGAAGGGGTAAGTGGATGAAGGGGTTATGTTAAAAAATAATTTTGCAATTAACCATTTAATTAGATTCATAGGTATTTTTAGTGAAAAATGTCTTTAAAATGCGTTTTTGTGAGTTAGTAAGAGTGATTATGAACTAATTAGACGCACAAGACCAGACCAAGACAAGACACATATGAACTTAATTCTTCATCAACAAAAAATAGGATTAAAAAGGTTACATATTCTCTTCATCCACTTACCCCTTCAATTACGAGTATTAAAGCAAAAAAAATAAAAGAGTAGGTGGTCTTGTGTTCAGCGTTCTTTCCTTCCACGCAGAGGGATTGGAGTTCGATTCTCGGATGGGGAAAAATGAAATTAACTTTTTTTGCTGTTTATTTTATTTTAAAAATTATTAAAAGTCATAAATTATTTTAAAATTAGTTATTTTGTCTTAATAATCTAAAATATTTTTTTATTTGTAAATTTTCGTTAGTGGGTCGTTGAAAAAATATACTGTACAACTCGAGTGGATTGTCCACATCGCACTCATGCGATATGGCCATCATATCCACTCGTGTTGCACAAGCTACTATTTAATGATAGACATGAAGAATATTTTAAACTCGTTTCCTCACCAATCACTGTCAGATATAGTTTTTTTGCTCACCTTTCTAAAAAGTATTCTGTGGTTTCTTGAGACTCTAGATGTCGACCAGGAAGTCCATAGACATAACTCAATTCTATAGGATGTTTCATAAGGAATGGTAAATATTTTAATCGTAGATTCAGGACCTCAAAATATTTAATATTTTTTTAAATAACACTTGGTCAGATTTTATCTATTTCTGAGATACAGTATTTTTTTTACGACCCACTAGCGAAAATTTAAAAATAAAAAAATATTTTAGGTTTTTAAGACAAATTAACTAATTTTAAAATAATTTATGAATTTTAATAATTTTTAAAATAAAATAAACGAAAAAAAAAAGAAAGTTCATTTCATTTTTCCCCATACGAGAATCGAACTCGAGTCTTTGTGTTGAAGTCAAGAACGCTGACCTCAGGACCATCTATTCTTTTATTTTTGTTGTTGCTTTATTACTCGTAATTAAATTGACTTCATATAGTTTTAATTAAATTGATTTCATATATTTTACACAGAAAAAAATTATCATCTACATTCAAGAAGAACTTTACACTTGGAAGATTACATTTGTTTGAAATAAAGCAGAGTTTGCTTCAAATAATGTTTCTCGATATAATAAGAAAATAAATGTTGAGTGAAGTATAGGCATAATCTTGTATTTTAAGAGTTATAATAATTAATCTGAGAATAAATTATTTCATTCAAGTATAGAATTATGAATTAATCCAAGAAATCTCTTACGTTTATTATAAGTATGATATGCTCTTAAAACCGACCATTGCGTACTTGATTCAATGTTATAAATGGATTCGATTCAAAGCATTTAAATGTCAGAACAAGAATTAAACAATTCGAATCAAAAACCTATGTACCTACTTCAGAAAAGATTCTCTGCACGGTGTTGCCTGCTGAAACTTATTTTAAAATGCAACCCCTGCAATATATGACTGGCACACGTTGAGATGTGATACTTATTATTCGGAAGTCAGAGACCCAACGCTTTTATAGAGAACCTGGCTAATTGGCATTAGCACGTGTTCATCATATTGTCCATTTTCTAACATGTTTGCATCGTATCGTTAGGGTTGCGTTTTACTTTAAGTTAGAAATTCTTTGTGATTTAATTAAAAAGTCTATGAATACATTAAAATGAAATGGAACATTTGTTAAATGAATGGGGCTTCAGCGACCTGATACCAATATTTAAATGTAAGTATATTTAGTTCACTTCTTGTTGGGTATTATTATATATAAATAAATTTATAATCATAAGAACACGAAACAAACTGGAATCGAAGTAAAAAAAAATGTATGATGGTGGATGACGACTTTTTGGAAAGACGACTACTGTGTTGCTAAGACAAGAGGTCGTATCTACGAAAATTCTGATTTCAAGA